CTTGAAACAATAAAGGTGTATTACTTACGAGACCTGTAAATTACACAACACAGCTAGGGCCACGCAGCAAAGTTGTGGGTAAAGAGAGCATGCATGGGCCTGGTATTCTGCTTTTATTGGGGTTGAGGGTTTCTCAGGCTCACTTTTTTTTGGTGAATTTAAGACGTAAAAGTAGAATTTAAAATACTGGAGGAGAAAAAACAAGTGGCCCAAATAGTTATCAAAATCAACCAAAACCCTTCCAGCCCTTGGGAAGGGGAGAGGAGATCTAGAACAAGCAGCTTGGTTTTAAAATATGGCATGATCTTCTTAATTGTAGGAAACAAACTGAGGGTTGCTGGAGTGGGGGGTGGGGTGGGAGGGATGGGGTGACTGGGTGATAGACACTGGGGAGGGTATGTGCTCTGGTAAGCGCTGTGAATTGTGCAAGACTGTTGAATCTCAGATCTGTACCTCTGAAACAAATAATGCAATATATGTTAAGAAAAAAAAAAAAGAAGAAGAAGGTAGTGGGAGGGGAAGAATGAAGCGGGGGAAATCGGAGGGGTAGACGAACCATGAGAGACGATGGACTCTGAAACAAACAGGGTTCTAGAGGGGAGGGGGGTGGGAGGATGGGTTAGCCTGGTGGTGGGTATTGAGGAGGGCACATTCTGCATGGAGCACTGGGTGTTATGCACAAACAATGAATCATGGAACACTTCATCTAAAACTAATGATGTAATGTATGGGGATTAACATAAGAATAAAAAAAATAATAAAATAAAATAAAATATGGCATGATCCAATCATCACATCAATTTTGCTCATGTCCTATTGACCTAAACTAAGTCACACAGTCACACCTAATAGCAAGAACACCTGAGAAATATAGTCTTTTGGGATAGGGCTGAGAGTTTTTATTGTAGTTTTCCTGTCTCTGCTCCATCATTAAGTGAAGAGAACTTGTCTTTTAGTTCATAGAACCCGAGAACACAAGAAGTCCTATCCAGGCCTGATGAAGAGAAATGAGCATCACTCAGAGATTTTTAGATATCCAGCAAGATGGGACTTTTGTTATCATCCTCACGGAGGGAGTAAATGCTGTCTGTATTTGGGAAGAAAATAAACCAAAAGGGTAGACTGGCACAGAGAGGGGCAATATTTGTGTTCCTTCTTTTGGGGGTTTGTTGGTTACTACAGCTAGCCTAAACCTAAGTAATGTATTCATTTATTCATTTACTTTTTAACTGTTTGGGTCCCCTCTTGAATAGACGCTTTAAGAGGTCAGTCTTTGTTTATTCCTTACAATGTCCCCAGTGCCTAGGACAGTCCCTGGTGCACAGGTGTTCCACAACTATCTATGAGTGAAGGAGAAGTGCAGACCGAATTATGTCCCCTGCAGTGGGCAGAAACTACGTGAAGCCACACAACATCTCACGAAACCGCGGCTGAAACTGACATCATGACTGACTCAGAGCTGCAACATTTATTTTCTCCGAACACACATAACTGTTTGTTGGCTAGCCAGTCAGTAGAACACTGGGGCTAGAGGTCAGCTCGTGTTCGTGGCCATCATCCTGGAACCAACCTTCTTCTGTACCTACTACAGGCTCTGGCATCTCTGTTCTCTCTCTCATTTACAATTCCACTTCTGATATTTGGACTTGACATTTGCATTTTGGATTATCTCTCCAACTCCTGGCTGTCCTTTTCTCCTCAAAGAGGAGGACTGAACTACACCGTCCCTCAGGTCTCATTAACCATTCAATGGCCCAGTTGCTTGCCAGAGCCTGAATGGGTACCAGACTGGAATAGGTACAGAAGAAGGTTAGTTCCAGGATGATGGCCATGAACACCGTCAGTTCTTGGTTTCTTGACTCCATGGTGGTGAATGTTAGTGCAAGCCCACATCTGATTTGCTAAAACTATAGAGCTGGAACACCGAGGACTTGGGAAGTCATGAGAGCTATCTCTAACTACTTAAAGAATTGCCAAAGCTCCAGAGCTCTAGGTCTGCTACTTATTGACTGAGGGACCTTGGATATGCCACCTGATCTTGCTGGACCTCCTTTTCCTCATTGGGAAAATGAATATGATAAAATTCCATGCATATGTCACAAAGGAGGTGGTATAGATCTAATTACATAATGGTGGTAAACGGACTCTGAAAACTATAAATTGGTAAAGAAATTTTGAGCTGTATCTATGGATGAAAGTTATAAGAGGGAAGGTTTTGGTTCAGTATTCTGAAACACTATTGTCAGAGATAGCTGCCTAGGGTTGCAATGACTTGCCTCCTGAACTACTGGGAACCTCCATGACTAGACACAGCCATCTGCTAAGGTTCTTAAGGATATGAAGGCAGAGGAAGGGCTATCAAATGGGTCCAGGCATGGGCTTGTGGAGTCCACTGACGTCATGAAATCACAGACAAGCTCTGTTGGTGCTTGGGGTACATACGCACTTCTGGAGAAGACCCACAATTTTCTTTAGATTTGTAAAAAGGCCAATGATTCACAAAAGGTAAAGAATAAGAACATGATCCTTGATATTACTTACAATTCTGTTGAGTGTACTATCCTTTCTAGACTTGAAACTGAGCACATTTTTTTTTTCTTATGTGCTATCTTCCAGTTGAGGGGAAGAGAAGAGGAAGTCAGAGTATTTTGTCCAGGACTATGTGGCTCCTTCAAGATACTGACCCACCCCATACATTTCTGACTTGGGACCAAGTATTTATAAATTTACCTGTATGGCCTGTTTGAATGCTGGCTCTCGATTACTATCCTCTGAATGCCATGACACCTTCCTGGTCAGTACTATCCCTGATACTATTTCTATTTTAAAAGACCTGTTCCAGTCCATGCTTAAATGATAGACTGTTGGTGGCAGAGGTGACTCGGTGTCCCTTCAGCATCTTTTCTCCACTCCTACAGAAATAGAAGATCTGGCTGACCACATGGTTGCCAGCTGAAGACCACATTTCCCAGTTTCCCATTCAGCTATAAGAGGGACTGGGTTTTCCGCAGATCTGTGAGCAGAGCACTGAGTACAACTTCCGTCTAATAGCCTAAAAAGGAAAGGCACCTGCCTTCCCATTCCCTTTCATCTCTTCCCACTTGCTTGAAGGTCGATGTGGTGGTAGGAGCTATAGCAACTTAGCTTCGATCGTTCATTGATCATTCATTGACAGCCGTGTGTTGAAGACAGAGAACAAGATACACAGAGCCTAGCTATCTGATGACCTTGTAGAGCAAACTACCCTACTAGTTCTGCACCATCTACCTCCTTAAGACTTTCATACGAGAGAAAAAGACATTGTTATCTTGTTTAAGCTCCTCTATTTGGGGATTTTTTGTTATAGTAAGCTGTTACAGATGCGACCAGGACTTTATTTTCATTTCTTATCCATCCAGATAGTCAAGATCAGTTTGCTTTTACTTGGCAAGGACAATATACTTCTACTATTTGTTTCAGGCCTATCAAAAAAAAATTTTTTTTGAGTATAGCTGATACACAAGGTTACATTAGTTTCAGGTGTACAACATAATGATTCGACTTCTCTCCAGGTTATGCTGTGCTCACCACAGGTGTAATTACCACCTGTCACCAGACTACGCTGTGCCTTTTATTCCCATGATTTATTCATTCTATAACTCGAAGTGTTTCAGGGCTATTTAAATTGCCCAGCGAATTGCCATAATTTTGCCTCTAGGGGGCATCTGAGAAAGAGAAGGTGTAGCTTCTCTCCTTTGAGGTCTCAACTTACATATCCTTTTCTTAAAGAGGATTTTCTAGACCACCCAATCTAAAGTAAGTTCCCCTTCATTACTGTCTAGCTCAGCCCATTCACTTCCTTCACGGCACTTAGTGAAATTTGTAATTATTTGTCTGTTATCCATCTTCCACTTTAGGATACAAGCTCCATGAGGGCAGGGGTCATGTCTGTTTATTCACTGAATGCTTATCACAATATCTGACATGTAGCGGACACATAAACATCAAATGAGTGATGAATCTGGAAATAATAATAATTATTATTCCTAATATTTGGAAATTATTAAAAAATTCCTGCTCAGGCTTCACAAGCATTGTTAGCACCAGGAAATTATGTAGACTATCTAGATAATATTCCAAACGGAGGTTTTCTTATCCAAGATTAAAACCCAGAAACCATAAAGAAAAGTTTATTTATCTTATTTCATGAAAATTTAGAAGTTCTGTATGCCAGCAGCCACCATAAAGTTTTATAAAAGTAAAAGAATGGGGAAAATATAAAGAAAAGTTACAATCAAGGACTGTTATCCACAATATTAAAGAACTCATATAGAACTCCATAGGAAAAGAAGCATAAATGATGTATGAGTCACAGACAACAAAATAAACACAAATGGCCAAGAAGCAAACATTTAAAATATCCAATAATAAGAAAATAGTTCAATAAATTATAATACACCCATATTATAGAACATTATGAATCCATGATTAGGAATAAGATATATTTTTTATTAAGTGAAAAAAAGCAAGAATAATATGGATATGATCCCATCTGTAAGAATACAAACATACATACCAACATATGTATATATAACATGTATAGGAAAAGTTCTGAAAGAATGAACACCAAACCATTCTGTTTTTCGGAAAATGAGTAGGATTGGTCAGGGCAGAGAGGTGTACGGTCTTTGAAGTGGGATTTTTACTTTTTACTCTACATGCCTTTCGAATGTTGGATATGTTTTGCTGTGAGCATACATGCACCTATTACTTGTGTAATTCCAAAAACTATTTTAAAAAGCAACAAAAATATATGGAAGTCACCTAACAAACTTCTTGGTATATAGCATTAATAGCAACCAGAATCAAACAGAAATGATTGGAAAATCTCCCCAAATCATACAGAAACAGATTTAGGTGACATAGGATATCACCTAGAAATGGTTTTAGATAATGTGCAGTTACACAGAGACCTCCATCCCACCTACCCCTACCCCTCCCACCATATTTTGATTCCTCTTCATTTTCTTGGCCCAGTAGCTGTAATTTAACTTTAAAACTGTATATATATATATATATATAGTATGGATGGAAGGATTGCTGTACCATGGGCTATAACATTAAGAGAGTTTCTTTAGGTGCAAGTGGACCCCGTTCTTGGCTTTGAGGACAATCTGGTACAAGAAGACAAGAGGTCTGGTGGGGTCTGGAGCCACCTTGAAGCGGAGTAGAATCAAGGCAATGGCCACCTTTAGCTCAATCATGGCAAAATGCTGCCCGATACAGTTCCTGCAGACACCAAGGGAAGGAAAGAGATACCTGAGGAAATGGAGTTGTTGTTGACTCTTTCGTTAAGATGCTAGAATAATGAATCTACTATTCACGGTAAAGCAGCATTTTCACAGTAAATGCTGTGGAAACTTTTGAACTTCTATTATTCCCTGCAGGAACATGAACTGAGAGGCTGTAAGGTGATGCCGTCCCTAAAGAAGGTGGCACTTGAAGTTGCTTATAGAATTGTTTCTCCTGTGAGGATGTAGTGTAAGACATGGTGACTATAGTTGGTAACACTGTATTGTGCAACTGAAATTTGCTAATAAAGTAGAACTTAAATGTCCTCAGGCATACACAAAGAGAGAAAATGGTGAGGTGGAGGATGTGGTAATTAACTAGAGGGGGAAAAAACCCTTTCACAATGTATGCAGATAGCGAATCACCATGATGTACGTTTTAAATATCTTACAATTGCATATGTCAACTGTACCTCAATAAATCTGAAACTAAGGGAAAAAAAAAAAGAATCATTTCTCCTGCATTGGGGGTGGGCTGCATGGCTTACGAGCAAGTTTGCATCGTAGGATAACTTTTTGAGGCATGGCTGTATAGGATGTGACAGAGAAGGACTTTGTCCTTTGCGAAACTAATTGGTCTTTTTGGGGGCTCAAATAGGTACCAATATCTACCTCATAGTCTGGTGAGATGATGGGGCTCCATGGAAGAATATATAGAGCTGAGTTACCAAAGGGAGAGTGCTGTTTCCAAGTAAACATTTCTGTGCATTTTCAACAACTTCAAATTGTCCTTACCTTGGTCCAGCTGAGAATGGTAAGAAGGAGTAGGGGTGTCTCTGATCAGAATTCTCCTGGGAGAACCTCAAGGGGTCAAACACCTAAAATGACAGGGCAATCCCACCACCATCCCCAAAACACCATTAGCACATTTCTTAAGCTACTACTTAGCACTAGTCAACGGATATATACAATGAGCCACATATGTAATTTCAACATTCTGGTAGCCACATTTTTGTTATTTTATTTTATTTATTTGTCAGAGAGAGAGAGCACAAACAGGGGCAGCAGCAGGCAGAGGGAGAAGCAGGCTCCTCGCTGAGCAAGGGAGTCTGATGCAGGACTGGATCCCAGCACCCTGACACTTAACTGACTGAGCCACCTTGGCATCCCAGGCAGTCACATTTTTAAAACGTGAAAGTAATTTTAATAATAGAATTTATTTTGCAGAAAATATCATTCCAACATGTACTCAATATAAATAATTATTAAGGAAATATTTCACATTTTTGTACTATGTCCTCAAATTCCAGTGTGTATTTTACATTTCCAGCACGTCTCATTTCTGACTAGCCACATTTTAAGTGCTCAATAACCACTTGTGACGGATAGCTACCACACTGGACGGGGCAATTCTAGATCTGCAGCCCTTGTTTGGCCTCCCAATGGACTAGTATGCTACCCAGACTAAGTATGGAGAAAGCAGAAATGCTAGGGCCAGTGATATTATTTTCACTTTGGAGGTAAGAATGCACCCACTTAATTTATCCAAAGAGAATGAAAACACTAATTTGAAAAGATATATGCATCCCTATGTTTATTGCAGCATTTACTTATAATAACTAAGATATGGAAGCAACCTAAGTGTCCATCAATAAATGAATGGATAAGGAAAATGTGGTGGATAAAATGGAATATTACACAGCCATAAAGAGGTTGAGATCATGCCATTTGAGACAACATGGATGGACCTAGAGGGTATTATGCTAAGTGAAATAAGTTAGACTGAAAAGGACAAATACTATATGATTCCAATCATAAGTCAAATCTAAAAAAAAACAAACAAGCAAACCAAGTGCATAAACAAACAAGAAGCAGAATTAGACCTATAAATACCGAGAACAAACTGATGGTTGTGGGGGGTTGGACAAAGTGGGTGAAGGGGAGAGGGAGATACAGGCTTCCAGTTATGGAATGAATAAGTCACAGAAGTAAAAGGCACAGCATAAGGAATATAGTCAATAATACTGTTATAGTGATGTAACAGACAGATGGTAGCTACACTTGTGGTGAGCATAGCATCAGGTATCAACTTGTCAGATCACCAAGTTGATCCTGAAACTAATGGAACATTGTGTGTCAACTATACTCAAATAAAATTAATTTGAACATTAAAAAAAAAGAATTCACCCACTTAGAAGTCTAGCCAAAGTGATCATCTGATTAATTGTTGCTGAGACATGCAGTCCACCTCCCATTATACATAAGAGATCTTAAACCTTAGCCACTTAGGTGAAAGGAAATATCTATGGGTGTTGTGAGTGTTTAGAGTTTAAGAACATTGAATCAAGCACTATGGTTAGCTATGTGTCTTCTTTTGCCTCTCCAGATCCTCTGTCCTCCCTTTCCTGCTCTGCTCTAGGCTCCGAGAAGTGGATCCACGTAGTTAAAAGATACTGATTGGTGGACATTTGTCAACAGTTTGTTCTCTGTATTTATAGATCTAATTCTGCTTTTTGTTTGTTTATGCACTTGGTTTGTTTATTTGTTTGTTTTTTAGATTCAGCTTATGAGTGGAATCATATAGTATTATTTGTCTTTTTCAGTCTAACTTATTTCATTTAGCATAATACCCTTTAGGTCCATCCATGTTATCTCAAATGGCATGATCTCATCCTTTTTATGGCTGTGTAATATTCCATTCTAGCCACCACATTTTCCCTATCCATTCATTTATTGATGGACACTTAGGTTGTCATTTTATTGATGGACACTGATAAAAGACATTGACTGGTGATCTGGAGGGTGGATGGAGAGAGCTTTTGGGTTATTTATTCCCTGGACCTCACCCTACCAAGCTGCCTCAGGCTGACTGCACTACTGAAGGCCCAGCTCTTGCCCAGGACCCTTCCCAGCACAGCAATCTCTCTCCAGTCTTTGTAACCCTCTCCCCCACCAGGCCCAGAGGCAGGAAGCCCTTCAACGGTTCTGAGCTCCATGTTGCTTTTCTAAACCCTACCAAATCTTTGTAAATAGTTCCTTTACGAAACTCTCCTCAAAGAGCCCAACTTGAGTGTGCCATTGGTTTCATGCCAGAATTCTGATTGTTCCATCCAGCAGAAGAGAGCTCGAGTTGCCTGCCTGACTACATGGATAGTCTTCACTCCTGCAGATGTCTGGGTGAGTGCTTGGTGGAGCTCGCTTAGTAAATGACTGCCGTAGAGATTGCAATTTGGAGCAGATTGTGTGGCATTATGTCAATCTGTTCATTCAAAGCAAACATAAAGTAGGAATAGGGGAAAGGGACAGTTTTCCTTTAGGAGAAAAGTTGAACATTTTTGGTCTTTATGTTTATTTTATTTGCTTTGTGTCATTTGCCACTTCCACATTGTGCTAACAAAGTTATTTGCACAGCATTCGTTTTTTGAAGTATTTACATGTAAGACTGTCATACCTCTGGATTTTCCCAGATGGCAGGGTTACGGTGAAGGCCCCAAATACTGAGAACCACAGCAATTCCTGTGACAAGAAAGAAATAAAAGAGATTACAGGAGACAGAGCAAGTTGTGGGCTACTGTTACAGCACTTTTCAACAAGAATTTTCTTCTTGAAGGGAGTGATCTAGCTCCTGGCAGAGTTCTGTATGCCGTAGCTGATGTCAGCGGTCAAGGACCCATTGGAAGATGAGGCTTGAGTGACACCTTAGTTTTCAAAGCAATGACTTATTTAATACCTGATTCTATCTTAAGGAGCTGTTGGTGTCATGTCAGAATGATATCTGTTAATGGACAATACAGCACCCACCAGAGATAATTTGGGTCCAGAAGAACAGAACCACAATTCCATCATGCAGGTCCAATGACAAGTTTCTATTGGTTCTGTTCATAAGTGGAAGGGAGGAAATTTTGGCAAATATCCACATGGTTTGGGGATTAAAAATAGACGAGGAGAGAGATTTTGAAGATTATTTGATTACCATAAAAAGTTCTGGTAAATTAATTCTGGATCTGTCAACAGAGTCACAGTGACAGGCTGTTGGTATTTGCTACAAGCTATCCTGTCAGCTTGTTTCCAAGGGCAAGAGTTAACAGAACACTGAAGCAAACGAAGTGTCTCTCACGTGACACCTTTCTGCTTCCCACTTGCCCTGCTCAGAGACCTGTGCTCTGAAGAGCACTGGGCTCCAGATGTGAGGCCTCTATGCAAGTTTTAGTTCTGCTCATCTGCACATTGGGGTCTCCAGTGGGTTTTTGGCTACTCCACAAGTATTTGAAAGTGCTCTGTAAACTGAGAAGCACCATATAAGTGTCTGTTAAGATCATGTCTCAAGGGCGGGAAAATGAGATAATGTGCTTGAAAGCTCTATGTTAACTATTAAGTGCCGCATACTTATAAGAGTGATATTACGATGATGAAGCCAAAGACCCTACCTTGGGTCTTCTAGATATAGATAATGATGCTCATCTCCCATGAAGTCTCACCTCAGTCTCAAACTAAGCCAAATAAGGATTATTTTAGAAACAATGTCCTGCAAATGAAGAAACCTTGGATTGGGATTCTGGCCACCCAGGTTCTGGGCAGAGCTTCTCTACAAATGGCTACGTGCTTTTGGGAAAGTCTGGAAACCATATCTGATCAAAGAGTTACCCACTGAGTTCTTAATAGGCACCCAACCCTAAGCCAGACTTCCTTAGATTTGTCTTTTGACTCTTCTAAGAGTTGAGAAAAAAGCCAGTCTTTGTCACTGTGGTGGCCAGGATCCCCAGGTCTCTAGGAACTGCTTAAGAAAAGAATGCAAAGACCTGCAGGCAAAGAGCATCCATCTGGGAAGGTAATGGGCTTGCTGAGCTCTCTGGAAATAGATGGGACTGGAGGCACCAGTCGGAGTGACTCCTTGATGCACATTGTGGTGTATGACATCTCACCCAGCTGGTCCCTGTGAGGACAAGGGAAGGAGGGGAGGGAACTCAGTGTCCATATCTAGTTTGTAAATATTGATGTTTTTCCTCTTTGGTGTTTATTCCTGGTAATTATCATCTCTAGGTTAAAGTTATTTTGTAATTGGTGTATGTAACAGAATGTGAGACTCTTTCTGCCTCAGGATCAGCTGAGGTTCCAGGGGAAGAGGAACTAAACAAGTGCCAAATATCCTCATTATAAAGTGAACTGCTAATCTACCAGTAAAGGATTTGCTAGGGAGATTTCTGAAACCAGTTTTGCAACTCTTCACTTACCATATAAATCAAGAATGTAGAAGGAATGACTAAGGACTGAAGAGAGAGGGCTTAAGAGTTTTGAGAGGGGAAAAAAAAAGATCCTTTAAAGAGAGTTGTTGGAATGCTAGAATGCTGTGGAGAATGGAGGAGGGCCCCCCAACCATGTTAGGCAAAGAGGGGCTTCTTGGGTCACTTAGATGATCTGGCATGTGCCCCCTGGAGTTTGGGGAACAGAGGACTGAGAGGAAAGTCTGTGATTCAGAACAGACAGGGAGTTGGGGGGAGAACAACAGGGACAAACAAGTCAGGAGTGCTTGAGTGTGCCCTATGGGCCAATGAACTGGCAAGAGGGAGAGCTTCAGAACCAGCTTGAAAGGAATTCTGAGGACAAGAATTCCCTTGCCCCATGAATCACCATGGCAAAACTCCAGTGAGGGAATCTCCAAGAAACTCACAGATGTACCCATTGAGAGTGAAAGGAAGCACTGAATAACCACCAAGCTCAGAGAGCAAAATCATCATAGTACCAACCCCTTTCTCCTCCTCGCTCCCTCCTGGGACCACTTATGGAAGGGTCAGAAACAGAAGCTACTGGGTTGGGGAGGAACTGGTCAGTAAAAAGAAGCCAACCACAACCCCCTCACCCACCACTGGCTTCCAGACCCAAAGAAATGTTGAGCTGGGATGGAGGGAGAGGATCCAAGTGGATATGAATTTGCACTTTTTATTATTCCTCTGGACCAGACAGTTTCATTACTGAAATGAGACTGCTCTTGTGACTTAAATGGATGGGAACTCTATGAGATTCACTCAAGATTTCACCCCAGAGATGAAAAGAACTTGCCCCATACAAGTGTGAAATATCAAAGGGAGAGGAATAAAGGTTTTTTTTTGCATCCTAACCAGTCAGCTAGTCACAAAATGACTGCATATATTCAGTCTATTTGCTTTATTGTATTTCTGTTTGCTTTTCTGATTACTTATTTTGAATGCAGGCTCTGGCCATTTGGTAGTGTGAAATTTTCATTTTGAGCTCTTTCCTCCTCAAGCCCAGAATAAAAAGGGTAATTCTGCTTAGCCTGACACTTTGCATATTTTAGAAACACAGTGTTGTCCATCTTAGCCCTGGTGCAAGAAGAAGAGAGGAATTTTAACCCAATGCAGAAATGGCTGACAAGTCAAATGGAGGTGTTGAACAACTTGCCAGTTTTTTCAGAAATTGCTCTTTCCAATGTGGTTTTATTATCTGTCTAAAAGAATTATAAATTTTCAGCATGCTACGTACAAATTTCATTAAATATGAGTATAAGGCCATATGATGGAATAAAAACATATTTTATTTTTTATAAAATTATTTTCATTTCTCTCATTAAAATAAATGGTAGTTAACAGATCCTTTGGACTTTGTTTTCTCACCTGGCAAAGATTTCTTTATTGTTTTCACATTTCACATAAGCCAGACAAGAATGAGAAAGGCCAATATTGGGATTGTATATATATATCCACCCTAAACAGGTTAAAATATTCAATTAATGTTGATGAATGAATAAAAAATGACTAAGCAACACTATATTTTGTGCTATATAGATTAAACCTTTAATTTATGGTAAGAAATAACTATTATTTCCTTATAAAAAGTAGGAGCTCTACCATACCTATACAAATCCAAATTTTCCCTTACAAATGTTCTAACTGAGCTGACCTTTGCATTTGAAATATGGTGCATTCCCCTTAGTCCTGGGGCTGAGTAGCCCTTAGCATTTCTATCTCTTTGCCCCTTTGGCCAGCAAAACAATGGTAAGTGAAATATCTAGCTAGGGTGAAGAATGTGGTTTAAATCAGAGACATATGTTGGTTTTTCTTTAAGACAGCATGTCTCAGGGGCAAATCCATAACCTGGGCATTGCTGAATAACCAGATAAGCTCGAAATCTTGCAAAATGTTGTTGACATTTTCCACCTGGCTAACCCAACCTATAAGAGGCAGCTTGGGTGTCAGATCTCCCAAGAAGTCCTCTTGAGCCCTTGTACCAGGTTAGGTGCCTGTCTTCTGAGTTTCTATAATAGTTAGCACATCTCTTTCTCGCTACCCTTACCAGGTTATATGGCAATTATCCATACGGAGGCCTGTCTCCTGTCCCAGGGTGTGAGCTCATTGAGGGCAGGATCCACACCAAATCTTGCACATTTCTTAAGTGCCTCAGTACTTAGAATGTTCTCAATCCATAATCGCTAGACTTAACTACAGTGTATATCGTATTAGTACTATGTTCAAAGTCTAAGCCAGTTCTGAGTGAACAAGGAGATGGGAGGGAATGACTACAATGGGGGCTTAAATGATATGGCTGCTTGCTGGGGTCTCAGAGAGGAGACCCACTTGAGTCTTACCATTCAAACTCTCAGTGCAAGTCTAGGGATCAAGTCCCCATTTCCAGTGCACTGAGCCAGGTGAAAGAAAGAAATGGGACATTACATACCACTGATTAAGAAAAACAATGAAGCAGATAACTTGTGGAGGAGTGAACTTCTTTTGCAAAGATATAGGGATAATTTTGGTCTGTCTAGAAAAAAAAGCAGAATAGTAGCCTGCCTGTTCTGTTTCTACAGGCACATATCTTGAAGCACAATGGTCACCAAGGTACCAGAGGAGAAAATAAAGCAAAACCCATGGAGAGGAAGCAAGATGAAATGTTTAAGAATGTGGATCTTACCAGGTGATAGAAGACCTGTCCCCCAGGATGCCCCTGATCTCCTCCCGGCATCTCTCCTGATGCTCAGGGTTCAGAGCCAGGTAGTAGAGGAGCCAGGAAATGCTCCCTGCCATGGTGTCATGCCCTGCCAACATGAATGTGTTCACCTCAGACCTTAGGTCAGTATCTGAGAAGCTGTTGCCATTTTCAGCCTGGAAGGTATAGTAGGGATATGTTTATGCAATGTCAGTTTATAGATGTCTATAGCCCCAGTCAAGATAATGGCTTTAGGGGAAAAAATTAGAGTTTCATATGAGAGTTTCAATTTTAATTCAGTTCAACAAATACATAGTAGGAGCCACACTTTGACCAGAGCATAAAGGAGAACCAACATTAGATAAGGAAAGCAGGACTTGCAAACAGTTCCTTCATTCATCCTGCCAGATTCCTGCAGATTTCCCAGCACCTCCTCCTCCTTCTTTTACCAGCTTACACTATGACCCATTTTCCTGTGCTTCCCTAAACTGCCATGTATCTTTGCAATAATCACCAAATTCTGTCCAATTAGGAAAAAATTTAGTCTTATCTGACTCCCTCTAGTGACAGAATTACAGACTTCTATCTTTACCTCAAACTGTATGGAGCCAACCCATTAATTCAAAAGTATTGTTAAATTTAGTTGATCAATTTTCCTCTTGTCTCCCCTCCTCCTCACTCATCCATTTACCCACACAATTAACTACATATATGAGCAGCCTCAGACATTTGAAAGATTTACCTGGGCAGAAAGGATAATATCCAGAAAATCCTGGTACTTCTGCTTCTGAGTGTTACCATGCTTCTTCTCATCTTTGAGGAATTTCTTTCTATCCTGGCTTACCTTTTCTGGGACAGAATAACAATTCCCCATTACCAAAGTGACAACAAAGTTAGTCAAAGTAAAATTATTACAGAGCAAGAACAAAGTAAGTCAAACAGAGAAAGACATCTATCATATGACCTCACTGATATGAGGAATTCTTAATCTCAGGAAACAAACTGAGGGTTGCTGGAGTGGGGGGGGGGGTGGGAAGGATGGGGTGACTGGGTGATAGACACTGGGGAGGGTATGTGCTCTGGTAAGCGCTGTGAATTGTGCAAGACTGTTGAATCACAGATCTGTACCTCTGAAACAAATAATGCAATATATGTCAAGGAAAAAAAAAAAGAAGAAGAAGAAGGTAGCAGGAGGGGAAGAATGAAGGGGGGGAAATCAGAGGAGGAGATGAACCATGAGAGACGATGGACTCTGAAAAACAAACTGAGGGTTCTAGAGGGGAGGAGGGTGGGAGGATGGGTTAGCCTGGTGATGGGTATTGAGGAGGGCACGTTCTGCATGGAGCACTGGGTGTTATGCACAAACAATGAATCATGGAACACTACATCTAAAACTAATGATGTAATGTATGGGGATTAACATAACAATAAAAAAATTTAAAAAAAAAGGAACTAGAAAAAAATAATGATCCTTATGGCCTTTACAAGTAATAAGTAAACTTTTAATTTAAATTAAAAAAAATTATTACAGAGCAAGCCATGGCCCATGAATAGCATCAAATCTTACCTAATTCCGTAATCTCAGAATGGGTACATTGTATTTAAATAGATTTAATTTTTGAGGATGTTTGTTCTCCCATCAAATGACAAACTTTGATCAAAGTTCCAAAGAAACACAGTATAGCTGAAATAGACTTTATATAACTAGGGAGGCAATATAATAAAGATGGTTTCAAATGCAGGGGCAAGTGGCCAATCATTCTTTTCTTTCTTAGTCTAATATCTCATTTTCATGAAAAAGTTATCAAACGAAATGGAAGACAGGCAAAGAAACACCAACATCTGTATAACTGATGGGGCTTAAAAAAGAACCCCACAAAAATATGAAACAGAGTATCTAAAACTATAATCCAAGAAAACTGTGGAAGTGAGACAAAATTTAAATGTACATATTAAGAGGCCCACCTTATCCCTGGAAAAGTTGGAACAGAATAACCAATACCAAATATACCCTAATAAAACTATTCAACATTGAAGACAGAGAAAAGAAAATCCTCAGAGACTCCAAACAAAAAGACCAAATGACTTTTAAGGGGACTAAAATTAAGGCAGCAACATACTTCTCAAGAACAATAAAGAAATCAAAACAAGATTAGAGCATTTTCAGGGTGCCTGGGTGGCTCAGTCAGTTAAGCATCAGACTCTCGATTTCAGCTCAGGTCTTGATATCAGGGTCGTGAGTTCAAGCCCTGTGTTGGGCAAAAGATTAGAGCATTTTTGAGAAACTCAAGGAAACAAAGTAGCAGTAAAGTACTTTTATCCTACCTTTATATCCAGGAAATTTGTCATTCAAACAAGTATCAAGTCTACCAAAAAACAGGTATAAACTTGCATGAACTCAGAAAATACTATGCTCATGAGCCCATCCTGAGGAATCTAGAGTGGTTGAGCTTCATCCAACTAGGAAAACTTCATTAAAGAACTGAGGTGCACATTTCATAGATATAATTTTAGATCTCATTCTAAAATAAGGATTGGCACATGGGCAGAAGGATATCGCATAAACACTAAAAGTGAAAATAATTCAACTAAAAATAGGAGGAGATGGGAGGGAGAAAGGGGAAAGTAGAATAATCACTAATTGTTGGGAGCCTGGCACGTTTGATCTTTTCTCCCTCTGGACCTGAGGCCTCTGCTGCAACCATGTTATGCCAGATCCTCAGTCAGGCCAAGAAGCATCTGAGCTTGATCTTCCTCCTCATATTTGTTGGAGTGGGATGTACTGGAGCAGCACTGTATGTCTTGCACCTGGCATTGCTTAATCCAGATGTCAGTGGGGATAGGAATAATCCAGAATCTTGGAGCAAACTGGGCCCCCATGTTTAATACAAGTTCTGCTCAGTGAATTTAGATTACAGCAAACTGAAGAAAGAAGATCCAGACTTCTAAATGAAATGTTTCAATATAAAGCTGCTCAGAATGACGGCCTTCCAGACGCCATCCTCACAATTTTCTACTTATCCAGGAAATATGTCCCCTCTAAATGCATGAAATCATGTTGGTGTATTGTGTTGGGGTTTACACTGATTAATAAATATCTGAAGCTTGAAAAGAAATGATCATTAATAATTGTATAGGTAATAAATGAAAATCAAAGGCTATTATTAAAAACTGACAAACCGTCAAATAACCAGTCACAAAATACAAATACTATAGGATTCCTCATATATGTATATAAGGTACCTAGAATACCTAGTCAAATTTGTAGAGGCAGAAAGTAGAATAGTGGTTTCCAAGAGAAAGGAGTATAAAGAGGAATTATAATTTAATATGTATGGAGTTTCAATTTTGCAAGGTGAAATGAATTCTGGAGATGGATGGTGGTGGTGATGGCACAATAACATGAATGTAATTAATAGCACTAAGCTGTATACTTTAAAAAGATTAAGATGGCAAATGTTATCTATATTTACTACAGTTAAAATGACAAGCCAGGTAGCAAAAGTTTAAATAAGGGAAAGGGGAGTTAAGGATTTATGGAAGGACTAAACACTATGGTAGCCAGAGAAAAAATATAAACCTTCTTAAATATCAAAAGATATATTTTAAAAGAGCAAAGAAGACATACCACATAGAGAAAGGAACACAGTGTACTGAATTGAATAATGTCCCCCCCAAATTCATGTTCACCCAGAACCAGTGAGTAGTTATTTGTTAGGGAAGCCTTTAGGAAACTAATAAACACAGTAACTATAATATAATACACATAGTAAAGCATAATAATGTGCAGTGTTGAGTCCAAACGTATCAGTCATTTCAACAAATAAGAATGGGAATGACTTGTTTACTAAAATAAAAACATTTTCAAATGGACTCATAAAGCAAAACTGAACTATGTGCTGCATGTAAGAAAAACACATAAAACAAAGCAATTCAAAATGTCTATAAATAAAGGGATGGACAAAGATGTACCAGACAAATGAAAATAATAAGAAAATTGGGGTTGCAATCCTGATATCAAACAAAGTAGAATTTGAACAAAAACTCATTAAAAGCCAGTTTTTATTATTTATTTATTTATTTATTTTTAAATATTTATTTATTTATTTGTCAGAGAGAGGGAGAGAGCACAAGCAGGCAGAACGGCAGGCAGAGGGAGAAGCAGGCTCCCCGCTGAGCAAGGAGCCCGATGCGGGACTGGATCCCAGGACCCTGTGACCATGACCTGAGCTGAAGGCAGATGCTTAACTGACTGAGCCACCTAGGCATTCCAAGAAGGTCAGTTTTTAATGTTAAAAGTCAGGATATCACAGGGCACTTGGCTGGCTGGGTTGGTGGAACATGTGACTCTTGATCTCAGGGTTATAAGTTCGAGCCCCACGTTGAGTGTAGAGATTACTTAAAAATAAAATCTTAAAGTCATGATACCACAAGATATAATACTTATGAGCATATACACACACCAAATAACACAGCAGTACCTATTTAAAGCAGAAAACTATAGGAAATGCAAGGAAAGATAGGCAGGATCACACTAATAGTAGGAGTCTTCAACATACTACTCCCAATACAGGACAGGTCAAATGGACAAAAATAAGATATAGAAGATCCAAACAAAATAATAAGGCAGAACATATGGGGGAAACTATCAGACACCATACCTAATAATAGAGAATTTATCTTCTTCATAAGAGTGCATGGAAAATTTACAAAAAGTGATCACATATTAGACCAAAGAAAACATTAATAAGTTCTGTAAAATGGAAATACTACAAACAATGCTTTCTAATTGCAATACAACAAAATTAGAAATTTTTAAAAATAAAAAAATAAGAAAGCTTTTCACCCAGAAATTTATAAACCTTCTATTAAACACCTTTTGAGTGAAAGGGATATACAAACAGAAATTAAAGCATTTCTGAAAAAATAATGATAATAAAAACATTACTAATCAAAATACATAGGATATATTTAATCAATGAACAAAAAAATTCATAACCTTAAAAACACATAGCAATAAGAAATATAAAAATCCATCCTAAAATTCATATGGAATCTCAAGGGACTACAAAGACTCAAAACCATCTTGAAAAAGAACAAAACTGAAGGACTCACACTTCTTCCTAACTTCAAAATTTACTACAAAGCTATGGTAATCAAAAACAGGGTGGTAACAGCATAAAGACAGACATATACCATGTATGAATGGCATACAGAGCGCAGAAATAAACTCTCACATATATGGTCAAAGAATTTTTGACAAGGATACTAAGACCATTCAAGGGGGAAAGGGACAGTCTTTTCAACAAATTGTTGCTGGGAAAACTGGACATCTACATGCAAAAGAGTGAAATTAGACCTTACCTATACCGTATTTGAAAATTAACTCAAAATAGGTCAAGGACCTAATTGTAAGACCTAGAACAATAAAATTCTTGAAAGAAAAATAGAATTAAAAGCCACTGGATTTAGTAAGGATTTCTTGCACTGACACCCAGGTAACACAAGAAAGGCGCAGGTAACACAAGAAAAGGTAGACCAATAAGACTTCATAAAAATTTAAAAACAGTATCCGTAGAGTAAAAAGGCAACCCACAGAATGAGAGAAAATATTTGCAAATCATCTATCTGATAAGGGATTCAGATCCAGAATATATAGAGAACTCCTAAAACACAATACCAGAAAACAACCTGATTCAAAAATGGGTAAAGATCTTTTTTTTTTTTAAGATTTTATTTATTTATTTGAGACAGAGAGAATGAGAGAGATGGAGAGCACATGAGACGGGGGAGGGTCAGAGGGAGAAGCAGGCTCCCCGCCGAGCAGGGAGCCCGATGCGGGACTCGAT